AGCAGCCTTATGGCTCAGGCTATTAGGTCAGTAACCTTATGGCTCAGGCTGTTAGGTCAGCAATCTTATGGCTGAGGCTGTCAGGTCAGCAGCCTTATGGCTCAGGCTATTAGGTCAGTAACCTTATGGCTCAGGCTGTTAGGTCAGCAATCTTATGGCTCAGGCTGTCAGTTCAGCAACCTTATGGCTCAGGCGAAGCCGTTCATAGTTTAGAACTGCTGACACGTACCAGTTACCGTCTATATGGCTAATCTTAATCGAAGCTTGAGATTGGCTGTTACTTTTATAACGCAAATACGCATTACTTGCTGCACTACATAAACAGAATTATTATTTTTTATTTGACACTGGTATTCATATTAATGTTAGTAATAAGTTATAGAAAATAGAAAGACATGAAATATTAAACACTCAGTAAAAGTTTTATTTGTTTCGGATATTAGAATAAAGTTTGACAAGGGCTATCTGTATTAGTTATCCCTAATTTGTAACTACCAGACTAGACTGAAGGTAGCACTCACCGCTAATTCTTGGGACACTCTGATCGAATAGTGAGATTTTACAATCACTCTTATAACTGCACCCATGCGCCAAAGTGCGCACCACAATTTTTGTAGCAAGGAGACGTGAACCATGAATCCTCACAGTCCATTATGCTATCCATTTGGCTATGCACGGCCCCACAATAACGAAAAGGTTTATGTTTTTTAACTTGGCGTATATTTGAAACATAAATTTAGTTACTTTTCTGTTCAAAGTCAGTTATCTGTTTGTTTTATATGTAGAATATGACTCTTCACGCTTTTGTGTTTATTCTGTGTAAGTATATTGTTTGTTTTGTGCGCACAAATGTACTAACATGAAGTGGCTTGATGTTTAAGCATTTTATAAAAGGTAATCTCGCTTTAAAATCGGACGAAAGATATTTCAAAGGTGTACACGATAAAGGTGTTGACAGATAGTTGGTTTTTGTATAAAGTAAAGACATGCATAAACAACATCCACCCTCAGAAATTTAAATTCACCCGTTCCTTAGTGTTCGTTCATTAACAATGCATCAACACTGGTTTCTTGAATGCAGATTTTATTAACATTATCATCAACCATAAACTACCAACAGTCAATACGGTAGTCTAAAAATATAAAGTCATTTTCTCTCACTATGAAATCTCTTATCTATTTGTACATTTCTCATGTTCCGTTCAGGGGGTTCAGCATGTTCGAAACAAGTTTATTTCGGTCAACAAGACACCAGGATACACAAAGTTAACCAACACACACATTATACAATGTTTTAAAATTCTACTCAATTTAAATAGCTAAACTTACTGTATACATAAGCAATACACAATACACTTAAAATAAGCTGGTGTGGAAATTAACGAATGAAATAGGTCAAAATGGCTTGGGAACCATATAATCTAACTAGCTCTCAACCAGCGAAGGCGCATAACGCTAAAATTCGTGGTGGGCAGAGTACATATAGCCCATTGTGTAGCTTTGTCAGGGTGGGCTTCACTTATGTTATTCCAATTCGTTCCAAATATAAGTTACAATCTTCTTTCATATCTTCGCAGCACTGCTACAGTGTTAAGTATGATTTATTGTTGTTGTGTGAAAAAGTTGGTAATATCCAAGCATAAAATAACGGAAACACATTTTCTTTGTTTGACAGACACTTCTGGATAAGAAACTAACAGACTATGTTGCTTGGTAAGGAGTTGTTGGCGTAATGCTGCATTGGCTATCCGCACGAATTTTTTTTCCCTTTTTGTGTAAATTAAACTATATCCATATTTGAAATAAAAGTGTATACAATGAAATGGACAATAAATATAATAGTTCGCCATAAAGTTAAAATATGAAATAAAGTTTAAAAGCCCGTAAAAAACTAAACATGTGGTCAATCTGGTTTGTTTGTTTGTTTTGAATTTAGCG